GACACACGATCGTGTCGCCGATGACGTCGGCGCCCTCGCTCATCGGAGTGCCGAGGTGGGGGCACAAGTTGCCCACGCAGAAAAGCTTGCCACCCTCCGTCTTGCCAACCAGCACGTCGACGCCGCCCAGATTGATCGCCCTCAGCTCGGTCGGGGCAAGGTCGCTCTCCCTGAAGCCGGTCTTGATCCACGCGAGGGCGGGCAGGATGGTCTGCGTGGTGTACTTGGCCGCCGTATTCGAAGGCCTTCGGCGTCCTGCGGTGCCGGGCGCCACGAACGTCAGGCTGCTGCGGAGGGCCAGCAGGGCGATGGCGGCGACGACACACGCGCGGGAGGCGGCGCCCATGGCTGGCCTAGGGCGACGCGGGCGGCAGGTCCTGGAGCAGGGCGAGTTGAGACAACGGCAGCTCGAAGTCGCGCCCCAGACCCCACCCTGGGGTCCAAATGCACCCGTTTCCCGAGCTGCGTTTAGCTGTGGCGACGAGGGGCCGTTGTCTCCTCTCGCCCTTCTCGGAAGGTCGGAGGAAAAATTCAACCCTGATCCAAGATGGCCTGAGCCAAAACGGCTACGGACCTCCACTTGGGAGGTGGAGGAGGAGGGGGAGGAGGACCCAGACCTTCGAGGTCACGACTTTACGAAGAGGAGGTGGAAGTCGAGACAAGATCCGGTCGAAGACTTTTGCTCTGCGTGTCGCGGCGGCGGCCCCAGCGACACGCTACGCAGTGCAAGCGGATAATTAGAGTGTCGCTCCGCTCCGCGGGGCAAGATTCTCGGAAATACTCGGGACTTTGACGCTTTGGACGTGGTCAGCGTGTCACGCCAGATGGGCCAGAGCCGGCGGGGCCGACCGTAAGGTACTAGCTGGCCGCTCTGCGGTTGACCGTAGCACTTTGCGCCAGACGCCGCCAGACTCTGGACACGGTGCAAGAAGCACTCTTGGCCCCTCCCCTTTGGGCCGATTTTGAAAGGACGTCCCGAGCGAGGGCGCCGATTGTCAGACTCTGTCAAATCCACCAGACACGGTGCAGGAGGCACTCCTAGCCCCTCCCACTGGACCGATTTTGCAAGGATGTCCCGAACGAGGGCGCCAGTTAAAGATTCTGCGCCGAAAGTCCATCAGAGTCTGTCAAATCCACCAGACATGGTGCAGGAAGCACTCTTGGGCCCTCCCCTTGGGCGGATTTTGCGAGGGAACCCGTTTAAGATTCTGCGCAGGAGTCCACCAGATGCTGTCAGCTCCACCGGACATGGTGCAGGAAGCACTCTTGGCCCCTCTCCGTTGAGCCGACTTTACGAGGAAGCCCGTTCAAGGTTCTGCGCCAGAGTCCGTCTGATTCTGTCAAATCCAGCTGACACGGTTCAGGAAGCACTCTTGGCCCCTCTTCCTTGGGCCGATTTTGCCAGGGCGTCGCGAGCGAGGGTGCTGGCACCTTTCTCGTGGCCCTGTTAGGACCAGCCCCATGTGCACTCTTCTTCACCTCCTACATTTAGGTCGGGCATGTCCTCCTACAGGCGAATTTGGGATGAAAAATAAAAGTGGCCTAGAGATGCTCAAAACTACCGAGAAATAATTGAATAATCGTCACGGGACTAGTTTGAAACAATTCCTGAATATTCCTCCTGTCAGAGTGAGGGTGCCGAACGGTCATTCATTGTCCCAAAGTGCGTGGCGAAAGTGAGAATCCGTGGTGAGGATTATGCTTGTTGCGTTGTTGTTGTTGCTGCTGTTGTTGTTATTGTTGTTGGTGTTGTTGTTTTTGTTGTTGTTATTGTTGTTGTTGATATTGTTATTGTTGTTGTTATTGTTGTTGTTGTTGTTGTTGTCATTGTTATTGTTATTGCTATTGTTGTTGTTGTTAGTGTTGTTGCTGTTGTTGTTGTTTGTTGTTGTCGTCGTCCCACCGCCCGGGTTCGCGTCGTGTCGACCCTGGTGTTGGTTCCTGACACCGCGGGGATCGTTCAGCCTTGAAGAGATCGGCCCTTCCTGAAACGTCGGATCGTTCCAACATCGACCGATTCTGGGCCGCCGGCCGATTCTGGGTCGCCGGCGGCGTTCAACGTTGAACGCTGGCGGCGGGGTCACCGCCAGTCGACACGACGACGCGAACCTACCTTACCCCACCTCTCCCACCCCCCCCTCTCCCACACGTCCGACTTCTTGATGTTGTTCAATTGTTACGGGAGCTCCTGAAGTCCCGACCCCTTTCCCCAGGGCCAGCATGTCGTCCTGTGTCGCTTCTTGACGGTCCCAGGGATCAGCGAGGGCCCGCAGAGGCCAAAAAAAGGACGAGAAGCCTCCTTCTCGATTCTGTTCCAAACGCTGGATGCCTGGGCTCGTCCGACCCGAAAGAAGAGGCGGACGGGGAGCGTAGAGGCACAAAAACTGCGTGGACCAATTTTTTCAGAAGTCAGCGCCGACTTCTCTCGGGGATGGACAGACCCCCCTTTAGCAGAACGTGGTTTAGTGAAAACGACCTGAGCCCCAAACCTGGCGGGCGCAAGCCTGAAAAATAACGGCCACGGCGCCCTCTCGAAAACCGAAAACGTACAATTCACTAATCGACGTGCGATTCTCGCATCGGCGCTGGAACCCCTATCCCTGGTGCGCGGAGCGCGCTCGGGGCGGCGCCGGAAGCGCCGTCGGGGGGCCCTGTGCCGATCCACGGAATCCACGCGGATCTCCCAGGCATTCGGTTTATGCAGTGTGTTGCTCCTCGAGTCCGGTCCAGAATAGAAAAACCTGAGATCCGATGTCACGAAGAATCATCGGCGGTGGACAAACCTCCCTTTAGTAGACCTCCCCTTAGTGACATCGGCCTGGGGCCGAAATCGACGGACCTGGACCTGCAAAAACGACGACCGCGACGCCCTCTCGCGAACCGAAAACTGCCAATTCCTTAATCGACGTGTCAGGATAGGAGGTCTGTCCACCCCCGAAATCAATACAGCACCGCGAAAGATGACGACCGGAGCCCCGGAACCGACCTTTTCTGCTGCATGTGTCGAGCGGGGTCGATCTGTGATGGCCCGAGAGGGCCTGGAAGATGGCGGAAGCGCCTGGTGTGCCAAAGAGTACAACGCCAGAATGTGAACCTATGTTTGCCAGCCTCGAACGTATCCCTATCCCTAAGATCGACACGCCAAAAGGCGATGACAATCTTAGGGATTCGCCCTTGAAAAGTAAGGGAGTCCCTAAGATCGGCATCGTGATGAGAAGGTGCCCAGCATAGGGATAGGGATATGTTCCAGGCTGGTGATATGTAGGCTTAGATGCTCGTTCTGGGGACCTTCCTGAAGCCCCCTGGCTCCACTCGTGCGTCGAAGCTGCGTCGAATGTCCGCCGACTCCAGTCGACCTTGAGTTGAACCTGAATCGATATTGAGTCGAACATGAGTCGAACTTGAGTCGGAATTTAATCGAACTGGAACCGAACTGGAATTGAACTTGACTCGAACTAGAGTCAAACAGATCCGTCAGGTGGGCCCCAGGGCGGTCTCTAGGCAGGAGTCCGCATCGCGCCCAGCGATCGGAAGGACCCCACAGGGGCCCGCACCACAAGTCACTCTGGCCAGGGGCCACGCTTACGTGCCGCCAAGGAGCGCGACAGGGGGACGAACAATGACACACACACACACACACAAACGTTCCGAGGTCCGCGCAGATTTCTCGGATCGGCGCTCGGCGGCCCCCTGGCTGGCGGCGCCCCTGGTGCGCCCCGCGCGCCAGGGACTCCTCCTCCCCCTCCTCCTCCTCCTCCTCCTTCTCCTCCCCCTCCTCCTCCTCCTCCTCCTCCTCCTCCTCCTCCCTCCTCCTCCTCCTCCTCCTCCTCCCCTCCTCCTCTCCTCCTCCTCCTCCTCCTCCTCCTCCTCCTCCTCCTCCTGCTCCGCACGCCACGGAAGAGGGTCCAGCGCCGAGTCGAGAAATCCGCGCGGACCTCCGAAAGAGTGTGTTTATGCCGTTGTTTGCTCCCCGAGTGGAGGCGAACAGGGAGCATCGCCGACGCATCGACGACGCATCGACGATGCATCGACGATGCATTGGCGACGTCGGCGATGCATCGGCGACGTCGGCATGGAGATCATGGGGCTTCACATTAAGCGGCATCGCCGATACAACGGCGATGCGGCACGATCCTCCGACCCCATCTACTCTGACCCTACCTGGGAGGGGAGCCCAAACTCCCGACGTCGTGGTTGTTTCACGACGTCGACCTCCATCCTCCATCACTCTGCAGAGGTCTCGACCCCTTCACCGCGACCAATGTTTCATCCTGAATCGTGCTTTGACGGTCCCGGGGCCCGGCGAAGGCTCTCGGAGACCGATCATGACAACAACAACTCCGTCATGGTTTCTGTAATGACCCGAGAGGGTCCCGGGTCGGCTACACGCAAGAGCGACCCTAGGCCAAAGTGGCCTCGGGTGCGCCACTTCCGGGGGCCGCGGGGAGGCCAAACCCGAGCTCGCAAGACGCTGTTATCGCATCGCGCTCAATCATCTGGGGACCCCAGTGTGCCCGCACCCCAGGTCACTCTGGCGAACGGTCACTCGTACGTGCACAATCGAAACCAAGATCGCGTGGATCAAGGCCATGGGCCACTTCGCCGAGATCCCAAGACCCCATGGAGACATCCTCAATGAAGGGCATTCCAAGGTGGAGGGCCTCACGGCGAAGCAATGATTTGTCATGACCCTCGGGCCAGCTGTAGTCGATCGGGGGAGGCGGGAGGGAGAGGCGGGCGGGGGAGGCGGGCGCAGGAGGCGGAGGAGGAGGAGGAGGAGGAAGGAAGAGGAGGAGGAGGGGGAGGAGGACGAGGAGGTGGAGGAGGAGGAGGAGGAGGAGGAGGAGGAGGCCCTTCTCTTCTCCCCCCCCCCCCCCACCACCCCCCCCCCCCCCCCGCTCCCCCCCCCCGCCTCCCGGGGAGGCGGGCGGGGAGGCGAGCCCCAGCGCTGCCAGCCAGCGGCGGCAGGGCGGGGAGGGCCCGGCCCGCCCCGCTCGCGCCTCGAGGCCCCGCTCGCGCCACGCCCGCACGGCGGCGAGCGCCTGTGCGGAGGGCGTCGCGCGCGCCGAGGGCCACCGCGGGCGGCCGCGCAGCGGGCCGCCCAGCCGCGGCGGCGGCCGGGGAGGAGGAGCCCTGCACACGGGGGCAGGTAAAGGGGGCGGCAGCCGAGGGGCCTCTGCGAGCGAGTGCAGGGCGACGGGGCATCGCACTCGTGCGCGGCGAAGCAGTCTTTCCAGGACAGTATGGAAAGCGCACCGTTGGCCACCACCCCGTCTGCAAACGCCCCACTCCCCCTCGAGTCATGGACCGATCACGGCGGAAGGCTTTCCTAACTTTTCGACCTGCGGGGGCCTTCCCCGGGCCTTGGACTGTCGGTAGCTAGACGAGTCAGGAGGGGAAGCCCGTCCTGGCGAAGGGGCCGAGACCTCTCGGGGTCGACGCCACGAGGAGCACAGCACGACGTCGGGGGTCTGGGGCCCACGAACGGCGAACACATCCGTATCCGCGCCCTCGCAGCCTGGATTCAAGAGTCTGGACTTCGCGGACGCGCGGTCGCAGGGAGACGCTCCGCGCGGGGCATCCGAGAAAGCAAAACGCCCCGTATCCGCCGGCTCGCGGCCCAAGGGCCTGGCCGCTGAGGCCGCGGATGCGGATCCGGTTGTTGCCCGCGAGGGCCCGCGCCGCTGCCCGCGGCCCAGGGGGGAGGAGCGCTCCGATTTCGGTTCCGCCGTGCCTTCTCGGGCGCTTTCCAGAGTGGGGCAGAGATGTCTGCCTGACACTTCAGGCTCCTCTGATGTCCGCCATCTACCGTGCCGCCGCTGTTCCAGCCATGCCCTTGCGCAAAGATCCGCCAGAGGCGGGAATCTCCGCCGTGCTTTTCCGCATGGTCTGGCGTGTGTCCCCGACACAAGGCTTGCCACCGAAAATCAGCAAAAGTACGGGGGCGGCACGATCCAAAGTCAGGGGGGGGAGGAGCGGAGTCAGATCTCCGACGATACGAGCCCTGCGGTCCCTGAGGTCCAGGCGTTACATGCTTTGTCCATCCAGTGGTCGCTTCCGCTCGCCAGCGACGTGCTCTGTTGTCCGTCCCAACGGCGTCTCTCTTCGATCTCGGCCTCGGGGGTACGCTACCCGGGCTCCCCCGCCCGAAGCCAATCAGAAAAGGATCCGTGGAACAAAAACTGGCACCGGGGAAGGGGTCGGGACGTCCTCGGGACCGCGCGCTGAAAAAATCTGATCGGCGGATGCATGGGGAAGAGGGACAAGCAAGTGCCTGTGCTTGCCAGTAAGTGGAGCTTCGGAACCAGACCGCTACAACAATCTCCTCCTCCTCCTCCTCCTTCTCACTCTGGGGCTACTCGCACCGTAAGTTGGAAGCCTCCCATCATCCTAACAAGAGATGTCGGCGATGCTGATCAGAGGCATCCTCGTAGCACAAATGTTGAAGCCCGGAGTAGGACGTGACTGGCGAACTACTATCGATTGGAAGCGCCATGAATCTTGCACTGCACATCGACGGTCTAGCCTGCGTGACCGACGGTACTACATCCAGCATGTAACGAGACTCTGCTCGGCTCCCATGACCTTCTCCTCGGCTGGGCTCTCCTCCTCTCTACGCCTCCTTCCGGTACTGGCGTCATCCTCGCGCTCCTGTCACACCTTCGCAATGGAAGAAGTGGTGCGAAGTGCAGCGGCGACGAGCTAAAGTCTGCATTCGCCAACGCTCGTTCAAGGCTTAGCCACTTCTACCGTCCTTCGACTCGCGCTGGAGCGGCCGCGAGTTGCTCCAACTGTTCCCTGGAGATTGCTGGATTTACCTGGATTTACCTAGATGTATCTCGATTTACCTTGATTCACCTGGATTTATCTGCAATTACCTGATTCCCTTAAGTCGATTGGCGAAAAGTCGACAAGCCCTTAGGGAAAGGCGCCTCCATGCACGCGCGAGGCACCACACCGCCAGCGCTTGCAACACCACTTCCTCGGCCGGCTTCGCCTCGGGGCGCTGCAGAGGTGGAGCGCGTGCTTGCAAATTACTGCGTATAGGAGGGGCACCGGCAGGTGAGGGGGACCGTCTCGGAGGGAGGAGGCGGAAGAGGAGGAGGAGGAGGAGGAGAAGGTGGAGGAGGAGGAGGAGGAGGAGGAGGAGGAGGAGGAGGTGGAGGAGGAGGAGGAGGAGGAGGCGGGCAAGTACACTGCGGCGCGCCGGTTCGTCGACCACGACGGCTGGATGCCCCGACCACGACGGCTGGGAGCTGGAGTCGGCGAAACATCGCCGATGCGTCGGCGATAGGTCCCCGATGAGGAAGCCGTACGCTCCTGTGCGGAGCGGGCTGCCAAGCCCCAGTATCAGCGATGGATGATTGGGGGCCGATGCACCCCCACATGATTCCTACGAGGCTGCTCAAGTGATCTTGCACCGTTTGTCCTGTTGCGGCTGCATCGCTGTTAAAGAGGACGGTCTCTTCTCCTTCTTCTTCTTCTTCTTCTTAGTATTATTATTATCGTTATTATTATTATTAGTATTATTCTGATTCTCCTCTTTCTGCCTCGTTGCCATTGGAACCCCGGGACTGCGGCTGTTGCCCCTGAGTACAGGAGACGTCAGGATTTCGACGCGCGCGCCCGCACACGACACGATTGGCTCAGGATACGGCCCAAGAGTTTCTGAGTATCCAACGGCCCTCGTTGCTGCAGCCAGCGTGGAACATCAGGGTGTCCAGGACTTCCTGGAGATCTAGGAACGTACCATTAACCACCTGTCGGAAGGAGTCTGTAGAAACATGAGGTAGGAAGTCCTTGAAAATAGATCGGGTTCCGTCCGCACCCTTCGGAGGACGGAAAAGTCCAAGCCACTCGATCACTGAAATAGGAAAGCGCTTAAAGTAGATTGGAACATGGGAGCCCAATAATAATGCCCACTTTCGACGACCGCTGGGCATCGTGCCCTCTTGCTCCTCCGAGGATCTTGCCGACCTCGGTGCGCTGCACCCCAGACTCCGCCACGCGGTGGAAGCCGACGGCGTGGCCGCCAAAGATCTGGGGCCCCCAAGGGGCCCCAGATCTGGCCAACGCCGGCGCGCCTCCCCCCGAGAGCTGCTCAGCGCTGGCTCGGCGGCGCGCCGAGGGGGGCAAAGGGAACGGGGCAGGCGCTCTCAGAACGCGCCGGGGCTTCTCGGGGGCCCCCTGCGGCCTTCGGGAAGGGGAGGGGAGGGCGGCGGGGGGAGGGGGAAAGGGCGAAGAGGAGGGGAGCAGAGGGCGGGATGAAGGAGAGGGGGTGGTGGGAGGAGGAGGAGGAGGAGGAGGAGGAGGAGGAGGAGGAGGAGGAGGAGGAGGAGGAGGAAGCCAGAGGCCTCCTGAGCCTTCTGCGAAGGCCCACCCCCCTCAGCCTTCCCCCTTGGGCGGTGCAGATCGACCAGAGGTGTCGGGCAGCGCCCACATGTACTAGCAGAGCCAAGCGCGTGCCTCAGCAGATCGCGTGCTTGGCGCACCCTGGTGGTCAGGAGGTTGTGCTTGGTGCTTCGCGGCGGCAGCCCCGGCGCCACGCTGTGCCCTGCAAGCGGATAGAGTGTCGCTTCCCTCCGCGTAGCGGGAGGCTGGGAGAAGCTCGGAACGTTGACGCTTTGGGACTGGGACGTGATTAGCGGGTCACGCCGAAGCGTGGTGGACCAAAGCCCGCGGGGCGAGATTCTAAGCAAACGTTCCTGACCGCACGCTCGGGTGCGCGACAGGGCAACGGAGAGACACGATACATGCCGCGATACCTCTAAAGCCATATTGCGCTGATTTTCCTTGGGCTCGAGAGCTGATCAAGGAAGCGCTGGAATCCGCCGGGACGCCAGGAATCCTGTTGGCCCCCAAACGTGCGGACTTTTGTGGTATTGCTACCCATGGCTCCAGACCGCGTGCTCGGGCAGGCGGATGGAGGAGGGATGGGGAGGGGGGGGGAAGAGGATCTAGGGGAGGAGGAGGAGGAGGAGGAGGAGGAGGAGGAGGAGGAGGAGGAAGAGGAGGAGAGGAGGAGGGGAGGAGGAGGAGGAGGAGGAGGAGGAGGGAGGGGAGGAGGAGGAGGAGGGAGGAGGAGGAGGAGGAGGAGGAGGAGGAGGAGGAGGAGGAGGGGAGGAGAGGAGGAGGAGGAGCAGGAGAAGGAGGATGAGAAGAGGAGGATGAGGAGGAGGCGGAGGAGGAGAGAAAGGCACATGCGGAGCAAGCGGCGGGAACGGAATTGAGGAGGAGGCCGAGGAGCCCCCCGTCGCCCTGAGCTTCGGGGGCGCCGAACATGGTGTACGTCTTGCCGCTGCCGGTCTGGCCGTAGCCTCGGGGAGGGGGGTCCGCCAAGAGGCAGCAGGGCAGGGCCGGGGGGGGGAGAGGGCGCAGGCAGCGGGCGGCGGGGCAGCGGGGGGGAGAGGGCGCAGGGCAGCGGCGCGAGAGGCTCAGCAGCGGCGCCTCGTCTTCCCTCCGGAGGGGGAGGAGGGGGAGGAGATGAGGAGGAGGAGGAGGAGGAGAGGAGGAGGAGGAGGAGGAGGAGAGGAGGAGGAGGGAGGAGGAGGAGGAGGGGGGGAGGAGAGGAGGAGGAGGAGGAGGAGGAGGAGGAGGAGGAGGAGGAGGAGGGAGGAGGAGGAGGAGGAGGAGGAGGAGGAGGAGGAGGAGGAGGAGGAGGAGGAGGAGGAGGAGGAAGGGGAGGAGGAGGAAGGAGGAGGAGGAAGTGGAGGAGGAGGAGGAGGAGCAGAAGGAGAGAGGAGGAGGAGGGAGGAGGAGGAGGAGGAGGAGGAGGAGGAGGAGGAGGAGGAGGAGGAGGAGAGGAGGAGGACGAGGAGGAGCAGGAGTTTTTACTGGGGTGTGGCCCGACGATGCGTGAGTGCAGCGCTGGGCATCGCGAGAGCGAAATCAATACCCGCGGGCACCACCCCAGAGCGGCGTGCCCCTTGCGGACAGGCGCGGCGGAAGAAGAGAAGGAGAAAAAGGAGGAAAAGGAGGAGGAGGAGGAGGAGTAGCAGGGAGGGGCAGGAGGGGGGGGCAGGACGAGGAGCGAACGCCCCTTGCGGACGCCTTCTCTCCCTGCCTAGCCAGAAGCGCCAGTAGAGCCACAGCCCCCCATGTAAAGAGCACCCCCCCGCGACGCCAGGCTCAGGCGCGGCGGCGGCCCGGGCTGGCCGCGGGCCGCTGGAACCTGCCCGGGTCAGCCGCGGGAGGCCGAGGCGGGGCAGCTTCGAGTCTGCGCCGGCGTCGGCGCGGCGTCTGCAGGCCAGCCAGGGAGAAGCGGCCGAGCCCTGTCTTTCCGAAGGGTCACTGCAAACTGGGGTCAGCCCGAGCGCGGGGCCTTGCACGGGAACTTGCAGGATCCCGCAGAGCCAGGGGTGCATTGACCCCAGCTTGCGTGCAGGGTCCTGCGGAGGATCCTGCAGGATTTAGCAGGTTTGCGCTAGGCCCGACTGACCCGGGCCAATCGGATTGGGCGCTTTCGCGGCCCCCGAAAGCCGCGCACGAAAGGTCACTCTTGCCCAGGGTCACCCTTCTCCGAGGCGGGAACTTATCCATTACCACAGCCAGGGGGATCGATCTTCGCAGACCTCCGTTGGCGGCGGATATGGATAGATTCGGGTCCTTGGGGGTCAAAACGAATCCATGTCCACCGCCCGCTGGGTCCCCGGGACGTCGGTTCCCAGACGGTGGATATGGATAAATCCCCACGTCGCACCGTCCGTGTAGCCGAACGGGTAGGAAGACGTTGAACATATACTGGGATTCGCCCGCCCCGAAGGAGGACGGAAAAGCGCAGTCACTCGATCATTAGAGTAGGACGGCGCTTAAGGGTGCTGTGCGGGTGTTGTGCGGGTGCTGTGCAAGTGCTGTGTAGGTGCTGAGCAGGTGCTGCACAAATGCTGTGCAGGTGCCGTGCAGCTGCCATGCAGGTGCTCTGCGGTTCCTGGTATGGGTGCTGTACCGCATTTTCCGCAGCATTTCTCACTGTGCACTTTCTGTAGCTGTCCTGGCCGAGATATTCCAGTCTTGACCATGCGCTTCTTCTTCTTCTTCTTCTTGGCACTTGCTTACATTAGTGTACCTCCATATTCTCTGATCATGCCCAATGGATTCAGTCAATGCCCTTGTTGCCAGCTCTGGGTGCCAGAAGCCCACGCAATGAAGCACGTGTGCCAGTGCGTGCCAGGTTACATGCAGCAGTTCAACAGAGCGGTAGCATAGGTTTGGCAGTTTCGTCCAGGCGTTCCTGGCGCGGGAGTTCCTCATGGCCACGCCTCGTTGTGTCGATGATCTGTTCTCTGCAGACGTCGAGAGCGCAAGTGGGTTCGAACTCGCTGGTCCCACGGGCACGGCGAAATGCAGCCGCCAGGTCATCGGACTCTTGGGCTGGGAGCTGGATCCCAAGAATCTGTGGAGAGTGCGCCGTGCACCACGGTCCTTGGCGTTTGGGCCCGCGCTTTGCCGGGCGCGATTGCGCTTTGGATCGGCCCGGAAAAGCCAGATGAATGGCTTCAGTGCATTGGCTGAGCTTTGGACGCTGATTTCCTCCGTCCAGCCGAGGCGAAGCGTTTGGCTGGCCGCCTCAGCTGGGCAGGCTCTGTAGTTTTCGGCCGGGGGGCCAAAATTTATGTGGTTGCCCTAAATCGCGCAGCGATTTCGGGGGCAGTGGAATTTGAGGAGTCCAGTTCTCCCCCATATCGTTGCCTCGTTGCCTCATGGCCTCACCCACCCGGCGCTCTGTAGGGAGCGGGCGGTCTCTCACGCGCCCTTGCGCTCCGGTGGAGCGGGCGGTTTTCTCACGCTCCGATTGCTCCTTTTGGGGATGCGGTCATGTCTGGTCTCCTTGTTTATCCTCATACCCCTTACCTCACCCTCGTCACCCTGGTCCCATCCTCCTCCTCCTCCTCCTCCTCCTCCTCCTCCTCCACCACCCCCGTAGCTATCTTGGCTCAATCCACGGGGGTGCCCAAGGCGTGGTTCCCTCGCCCCCTCGCTGAAGGCGGCGCCGCGCGTGATGGCGGCGCCTGGGCCGGCCACTTGAGAAGAGGCTGCTGGCGCGGCCTCTGAAAGGTGGGGTAAACATGACGGCTGCGATCGAAGGCGCCAACTTGCCGCCCACCCGTGCGGAGGTGCTCGCGGTGGTGAAGCGGGACGGCCTGGAGGTGGTGATCCACAGCCACACGGTCATCGACGGAGTGCTCCTCGTCGGGCAGGCGCCCGCCCAGAAGAAGATGGAGGCCTACTTCGCCATCGGCTTCGACGACTTTGCGCCCGATGCTGCGGGCGAGGAGGCGAAGACGAAAGCCGTGGAGAAGCGACAGATCTACGATGTGAAGAACGCGTACGGGGAACAGGGGGTGCTGATCCACGAGAAGCGCTACCACACGTCGAAATCGGGAAACGATCTGATGAACATGCAGAAGTACGTCAACCGCATGGCTGCGGGCCAGAGCGACATCTACTGCATCACGGACGTGAGCGGCACCTCGGTGGCCGAGGACCCGTTTTTTGAACAAGATGCGCGAGAAAGATTTGGAAGTGATTTTCCTGACGAGTCCCGTGGACGAGGACGACTGGAAGCAGCTCCATAAGTACGACGGGAAGAAAGCTGACGTCGATCAAGGAGTTCTGCGAGCAGCTGGAGTGGAACGACATGCAGTCGCGCATCCACAAGCTGGAGTCTGAGCACACGTTCCAGCAGATGCGGTTTCACGAGACCAGCTGCCACACGTCGAGGTCTGGAAACGAGATGATAAACTTGAAGGAATACGTGAACCGCATGATCAAAGGTCAGAGCGACATCTCCTACACCACCTCGACATCGGCATGACAGGGGCCGAGGAGCCCTCTCTTGGCGAGATGCGCAAGAAATGGGAAGAAATGAGCTTCCTGACCGATCCAATGCAAGAACGAGCTATGCAGCAGCTCAAGAAGTACGACGGCAAGAAGCTGGTGTCATCTCAAATGTTCTGCGAGCAGCGGGAGCGGGAAACCATCCAGGCGCAGCTCCACCAGCTTCAAAGGGAATTTGATGAGAAGATGAACCTCTTCACCAAGACCCTGGAGGGACTTAACGAAAATGCGGTGCCGATGCAGGTCCACGACAAGCGCTACCACACTTCGAAATCAGGGGACGCTAAGATTAACCTGCAGGAGTACGTGAACCGCATGATGGAGGGCCAGGTCGACATTTACTACATCACGAGCATGAGTGGCGTCTCTGTGGCTGAGGCGCCCTGCCTGGACAAGATCCTCGAGAAAGGATGGGAAGTGATCTACCTGACAGACCCCTTGGACGAGAAAGTCATGCGCCAGATCATGCGCCAGATCCACGAGTATGGCGGCAAGAAGGTCGCGTCGGCCAACATCCTGCGCGATCAGCTGGAGATGGATGGCCTGAAGCTGCAGGGCCACCAGCTCGAGGACCAGTGCACCAGCCCGGAGGTGCACGTCGGCACCGACCTCGCCGCCCTCAAGAGCTCCGTGGTCGAGGCCATCCAACCGCTGGTCGCGGCATGCCTGCCGAAGGGGAAGGGCGCTGAGACCTGCCAGGCCTGTGCCCAGCTCGCTCGTGCCGCGCGGGCGAGGCCCTCCCCCGGCCTCAAAGGCAGCGTCGCCTCCGGGCTGGGCGCTGCGCCGCTCCATGACAGGTGAACCACAGCGGCTGGAACTTTCTTCTCCTCCCCATCCGCTGGGCCGCGGCCGTGGGAGCGCGAAGAGCCGCACGGGGCGGCTGCATTTCTCCCACTGACCCGCCTACGGGCAGGTCTCAAATGCAGCCCCTGCATCGGCAGGTGAAGCATAGCTGCACACCCCTCCTGCATCGGCAGGTGAACCATAGGGGTGCAGATAATTGCCATCATCACCAGTGCATCGATGAAGTGTTGAATCCTCCTCCTCCTCCTCCTCCTCATCATCATCATCATCATCATCATCCTCTGCCGCCGATTTTACGATGCTGCTATCTCGCCTCTTCCCACCCTCCTCCTTCCCCCTTTCATCCTCCTCCTCCTCGTCTTCCTTCTCTTTCGTCCTTTTCTTCGCGTTAAGATTATACATGATAAATACTACTCTCCTCTTTCCCATGACGCTGTCTGGAAGATGCCCCGCACTCTCCGCGTATCGTTTTCCCAGGGACAGGATTTCAAAACTAATAGTTTATGTTATTTCCCAATTCGATCAATTCGGTCCTTCAACATGGTGTTCCCGCTGGAGCGCTGGTCTCAGTTCCGCGCTTCTGGTCCTTTGAAATCCTGCTCACGCTGCAGCGGTGTTCTCACTTCCGCGTTCTCGGTCCTTCCGAATGGACCTACCGCTGCAGCGCTCGTCCATTTTCCTGTATTGTGCCCTTCCGAATGGTGTTCTCGTTTCAACGCTGATCTCATTTCCGCGTTTTCGGTCCTTCCGAATGGAGCTCGGTCCTCCAGCGCGTTTTCGGTCCTTCCGAATGGAGCTCGGTCCTCCGGCATGGCTTTCCGGCTGCACCGTTCATGCAACAATGCTGTGTCATGCGCCGCTGCTATGCGATTCCATGACTTGCTCTGCAATGCTGTGATATGCAACGCTGGGCAACACAGTACCATTCCATGCAATGGCATGCCACGCAATGCTGTATTGTATGCATGTTTGCGATACCATGCCTTGCTCTGCCATGCTATGATACGCAATGCTTGACAACGCGATGCTGTGTCATGCATTTAGAGATCGTTGTCCTCTTCGATATTCGCCTGTGCGAATTAAAAAGGGGCGCTACACAGTGCGAAGAGATTGGAGGGAGGCGTACAGTCAGATGTGGCGCGTGCGCACCTACTGCTTGTCCTCCTCACTCTCTCCTCCTCCTCTTCCTCCTCCTCCTCCCCCTTCTCACTCCCTCCTCCTCCTCCTCCTCCTCCTCCTCCTCCTCCTCCTCCTCCTCCTCCTCCTCCTCCTCTCTCCTCTTGCTCCAGCGGCGAGCGCTCCAACCGGGGGGTCACAGGGAGGGTAGAGCCTGGGGGCGGTGCCGGGAGGAGAGGCAGGCCTGCGCGGGACCGAATCGCTACGTCGGCTCGGATCGAGAAACGGGTCGCGTCGCCCACGAATCGTCCAGAATCGAATCGAGACCGCATCGCTGCGCCTGGCTCCAGCACCCGATCAACTCTCTCGTGGGCCCCCAGCGTCAAGTCTTTAGTAGAGGAGGAGGAGGAGGAGGAGAAGGAGGAGGAGGAGGAGGAGGAGGCTGGCCCTGGGTCGGCGAGCCGAGCCGAACCGAACCGCACCGCACCGGAACCGCGGCCCCGGCCGGCGAGGCGCGCCGCATCGCACCGGATCATGGGCGGCCCTGCGAGGCACGGAGCGGCGATGGCAGCACCAAGGGCTCCCAACTCCGCGCTGCGCGCGGCGCGAAGCGCGAACGACACTTCGCGCTCCCGCGCCGCCCCCAAAAAGGGGAGAAGCGCAGGACGAGGAGGAGGGGGAGGAGGAAGGAGGCCCGCGAAGCGCGAGGGCGCGACTATAACTTCGCGCCCTCGTGGGAGCCCTCGCAGCACTCGCGCAGCACGCGGGAGCGCGCCCGCCGGGCGCGCGCGAGGCCTGCGGCGCTGCGGCGCAGCGCCCGAGGCCTCTGCGCGGGCGGGCGCCGGGCGGGCGGCGCGCGCGAGGGGGGCGAGGGGCGAAGGCCGAGGCCCGGGCAGATGACGCCGGAGCTGCGGCCGTTGAGGAACTCGGCCACGAGCCGCCTGGGCCGCTGCAGGGAGCCCTGGGACACACAAGGGAACGCACACACACAAATAGCAGGCTTCCCCATACTTTCCCAAGCTTTCGGGGTGTCTGTCTCACACCCCCACACTTCCCATAATTATCTTCTTACATGTTCTCTGGAAGCGACGATGAATTGTGTCCGTGTGTGTTGTTTCCCCTCCTGGGTCTCCCACTGGGGCTGCCACCACGTCTGCCCACCGCACGGTGCCGGGACGGCTGGTCACTGCACCCGGGGCTGCTCATCTCTGGGGGAGGGGCTTCTGTGCACGCTTCGCTGGCGGCAGAATCGCCCCCCCCCCCCCACCACTCCTAGAGGCCTCCTAGATGGGGTCGGAGTAGATGGGGTCGGAGGATCGCGCCGAATCGCCGATACATCGGCGATACATCGTCGATGCCTCGGCGATGCATCGGCGATGCACCGGCGATGCATCGTCGACGTCGGCGATGCATCGGCGACGTCGACGCGACGCAAATCGGGCTGCACATCGAGCCGCATCGGCGATGCATCGGCGATGCGGCGCGATCCTCCGACCCCATCTACTCCGACCCCATCTAGGAGGCCTAGAACTCCCCCCCCCTCTTTTTCCATCGAGCAGCTGGACCACCATTACCCTCCGAAAATCTCCCACCGCATCTCTGGAACTGTGGCCCCTCCCCCTCCTCGGCGAAAACCCCATACTCCCCCCTAACACCCCCACCCACCCCCGCGCCCACCCCCACCCCCCTAACTCCCCCCCCCCCCCGCGCCCTCGCCGCCAGCAAACGAAGACGACGACGTTGCCGTCGCGGTCGCCATCGCCGGGCGGACACGTCGTCGACGTCGTCGTAGGCGAGTCGGCCGGGCAGGACACGTAACGTCGTCGTCGTCCTCCTCCTCCTCCTCCTCCTCCTCCTCCTCGCTTGCTGGCGCCGGGCGTCGTCGCCGTCGTGGTCCTCGTCGTCGTTTGCCAGCGCCAGGGGGGATCGAATCCCCCCCGACTCGAAGAGGGGGAGGGTTTGGACCCACCCCCTGGCGGGGAGGGGGGAAGGGTTCTTCGAAGGAGGCTGCTTCTCAGGAGGCGCGGGCCTTACATTTATGGACACGTCCTGCACCTTCTAAGAAGCAACCTCCGTCTGTGAAGCCTTCCCCTCTCCCCCTTCCCCCACCCTGTGCGTGGCCGAACACTGCCGAGCGTTTCTGGTCCCCCCGCCTCCCTGCCTGCTCTCGTCCCACAGCAGGGCTGAACCTACGCGGTGTTTTTCGTGTTAGCTCTGCCTTTCGTTCTTCGTCGTTTTGCCTTCGCTTCGCCCCGAGTGCAAAACACAGAGGAAAACAGAACGGCCCACGAGATGACCCAAAACACCGTTCAGGCCCAGCCCTGTCCCACGGCGACGCCGCCCTGCCCCCCACCCGATCGGAGGCCGCGGGGCCCCGAGACGCCGGCGGCGGGAACGGCCCGCGGGGAGCGGCCGCTGGGCCGACCACCGCGCCGAGAGCTCGTACACGTCCTCCTGCGCGGCGGTCTCGGCGAAGACGCGGTCGAAGCCGAACTCTCGGAGACCTCGGCGCGGCGCAGGCGCGGCGAGGCAGCGCGGGCGCGGCCGCGCGAGGCGGAGCCCCGCCGCCGAGAGCAGCTGCCAGGGTGGCCGCCACGAGGCTGCCACCGGCGCCAGGATGGGCGTGGCCATGGTCCGCGTTGGCGTCTGGTCAGCGTCCACGGGCCTCCTTGGGCCCAACTCGCCCCTGCCTGGGAAGGGCGAGTGTCGCTCTCCCGCTGGTGCCATCCGCTCTGATGCCCGTGGCCTCTTCTTCCTGGGCGCTGCCCTCACCGCCTCGGTTTATGCACCGCCAGTGCGCTGGTCAACTGGCCAAGTCAGCGAGGGACCAAGGGGGGGGCTCAGAGTGCGGAGGGGTGCCTGTGGGTGAGAAGGAAGAAGATGAGGGGGAGGTCCCTGTTGAGACCTCATGGTGTCAAGCCCCGCATTGCCCCGCCTCAGAATGTCACTAAGCGTACTGCCAGACCTTTCAGATCGAACCCCGAGGCGCACATGGCCCAATTATATGGCCTCCTCACTCGCAGGGGCAGCGGCGGAGGCAATGCAACTGCTCAACCTTCCTGGCTCCGTGCGCCTGCTGGCGCCACGGCACAATCCGCGATGGTTGGACGAAGCCGAGCTTCTGAGCATGCCTGATTACTTGGTCTTGCGGGTCTCTGCGGTGCTGCGATCGGAAATCGGCAGGGGGGCCCTGGGAGGATGACCGCTGCTCCGCGTCACCGCCAGCACGCTGGAGGTGTCCTGCAGGCGGTGTGCATGTGTACGTATGTGTGTAGGTATGCTTTACTTCTTGTCAACTCCTCGACGCTGCAGCAACGATCAGTCAGACGCAAGCGGGCCGCGACGGTGTGAACTGCAGCCACACGCGCGGTGCGAAGTAGCGGCGTGCGCGTGCGTGTGCGTGCTCAACATGACCGTAGCACCTTTGCATCAAGCCGCTGTGGTCGAGCGAGCCGCAGCGGTGGTGCCGAGGGGCCGGCGGATGTCAGCCCCGATTTACGGGGTGCCAATGGGAGCAAGGAGGGGGCCTCCTCCTTCAACTCCAGACTGGAGGGGTATGAGGCGATTCCGGTGCTCAAAAAGCTCGACAAGGAGCTGCTCTCTTTATAGCTCCGTCTCGCTTCTCCATCTTATCTCTCCACACTCCTCCACTCATCTTCCTCCTCCTCCTCCTCCTCCTCCTCCTCCTCCTCCTCCTCGTCCTCCCCCTCCTCCTCCTCCTCGTCCTCCTCCTCCTCGTCCTCCTCCTCCTCCGCCTCCTCGGCATCCTCCTTCCCTGGAGAAACCGATATCGTTACTCCCCAGAGCTCCCCCGGGGTAGGCTCTTACCAGGATCTCAGACCGACTCCAGCGGTGGCGGCGAGGACCTCCCAGGAGGCCCGAACAAGGGAAAACGAGGGAAGGGTAGCGGTATGGGTACCTTTTCCTCCTCCTCCTCCTCCTCCTCCTCCTGATCCTCCTCCTCCTCCTCCTCCTCCTCGTCCTCCTTATCCGCCTCCTCTTCATCCTCCTCCCCTCGGGAAACCGAAAGGCACAGACATCGTTACTCCCCAGAACTCGCCCTGGATGCGTTCTTACCAAGATTTCGGGGCAACTCCAGCGGTGGCGACGAGGGGCTCTCAAGAGGCCCGAACAAGGGAAACCGAGGAAGAGTAGCGGTATGGGTACCTTTTCCTCCTCCTGCTCCTCCTGTTCCTCCTGCTCTTCCACCTCCTCCTTTTCGCCGTTGCGGGGACTTGCGCGCTCCCCCCTGTACCTGTATTGCTGATGCTCGCACTCCGCAGGTTGACCTGTGCTACCAAATAAGAACGTGTAGCGACGCGTAGACGAGTGTAAATGAGCTGAACTGTCCTCCTCCTCCTCCTCCTCCTTCTCCCCGTCCTCCTCCTCCCCTCCCTCCTGTCCTCCTCCTACTCCACCTCCTCCTCCTCCTCTTGCTCCTCCTCCTCCTCCTCGCCGACCTCCTCCTCCTCCTCCTCCTCCTCCTCCTCCTCCTCCTCCTCCCTCTCCCCCAATCCCTTCTCCTTATAAAAAATTCTCCTGGTCGCATCTCGAGGCCAGATTTTCGGGCGGGCCGGTTGTTCGCCCAAGAGGATCCTCACCATTCATGACCCTGGAGCTTCAACGTTGACAGCAGTTTCACAGATGGAGGCGGGTGGTGCTCAGCATGTGGCTCTCGCCGCAGCGCCGCGCACACTCGTTGTAAAACTTTGCACACGCTTCACGGCTTGAGGGCGGGCCGTTTTCAAAATGTGACTATCGCCTAAGCGCCGCGCACATTCGTTTTAAACATATGCAAGAGCTTCACGGAATGAGGGTGGATCGTCTTCAAACCGTGGCTCTCGCCTTAGCGCCGCGCATAATCGTTTTAAACATGTGCAGGAACTTCACGGATTGAGGGCGGTTCCTTTTCAAAACGTGGCTCTCGCCTGAGTGCCGCGCACATTCGTTTTAAACATCTGCAAGCGCTTCAAAGGTTCCCATGATCAGCGTACCAGACATTGTGTTTGGGAAAGATTATGGATTATGAGGGTGCAACAGTTACGTTAATTTGCGGTGTAGTCCCAGGACCGGCGTTCTGGCGCGATTCAGGATCGTCAAGACGCAACGGTCAAAATGATCCGTGGCGTTGGAGTCCGGACACTGACTTTTTGGCATGCTTCAGGGTCTTCAAACGGTGATCCTCCAACGAGGCAGTTCCCTCAGTGGAAACGAAACGTTGCAGGGGCCTCTGAAGAGGGAGTTTCGAGGGCAAGTTTCTTCAACATCGTTGATGACTCTTGGGTTTACACTGGCCCTCCTCCTCTTCATCCTCCTCCTGCTCCTCCTCCGCCTCCTTTTTCATCCTCCTCCACTCTGGAAGCCGAAAAAGGTACCGATGACGAGGGCCTCCCAAGAGGCCCGCAAAAAGGGAAAACAAGGATGAATAACCGTATGGGTGCCTTTGCATCCTCCTCCGTTTCCTCTCTCCTCCTCCCCCTCATCCTCCTCTTCCCCCTCCTCTTTTAAAACGTTGCGCAGACTTGCGCGTTCCCCTCTCAAAAGTAAAGCCAGAACCTACTTATGTATCGCTGAGGCTAGTACTCTGTATGCTAGCCTGTGCTACTAAAGAAGATCGTGTAACGAAGCGTAGACAGACGAACGTGAATACACTGAGCTGGCCCCCTCCTCCTCCTCCTCCTCCTCCTCCTCCTCCAACTCCCCTTCCTTCCCCCCCTCTTCCTCCCCCTCCTCTGCTCCCTCCTCCCCCTCCTCCTCCTCCTCCTATTATTCCTCCTACTTTTCCTCCCCCTTCTCTTCCTTCTCCTCCTTGCAGTCCTCCGCCTCCTCCTCCTCCTCCTCCTCCTCCTCCTCCTCCTCCTCCTCCTCCTCCTCCTCCTCCTCTCCTCCCTCCTCCTCCTCTCCTCCTCCTCTTCCTCCCCCTCCCCCTCCCCCTCCCCTTCCACCCCCCCTCCTCCTCTTTTTCCTCCTCCTCCTCCTCCCCCTCCTCCACATCCTTCTCTTTTTCTTCCTTTTCTCCCTCCTCCTTCCGCGCCGTGGCCCGCCCCGCCTCGGGTGGCGGCCGAGCGAGGGGGCGCTGCCGCCCGGCCCCCCGCGTGCCCCGAGCGGCGGCTGAGTCTGAGGTGCCAGGAGGAGCCGCGAGGCTCAGGCCGAGGTTCCCCGAACATCAGGACACCGCGGACTTTCCGATCGATTGCGTGAGCGCACCAGCAGCATCAGGAGGAGGAGGAGGAGGAGGAGGAGGAGGAGGAGGAGGAGGAGGAGGAGGAGGGGGAGGCGAGGAGGAGGAGGAGGAGGAGGAGGAGGAGGAGGAGGAGGGGGAGGAGGAGGAAGAGGAGGATGAGGAGGAGGAGGAGGGGGAGGAGGAGGAGGAAGAGGAGGAAAAACCCAGCGTACAAAGAGGTCATGATCCCGGACTAAGCGGCAACAGAGGAGGCAGCGGCGGCTGGGGGCCCACCCGATGAAGAGCTCCGCGGGGAACCAGTCGGCGCGGCCGCGGCCGCTATTTCAATAAACTGGGGCGAGGACAGGGGATGAGATGAGCAAGCTGGGCGCGGAGTGTGACGCGACGAAACGCTGTGGGTGGTGGCGCGAACGACGAGGAGGGAAGCGGGCGGGGAGCAAGCAGAGGCAATGGCAGGGAGGCTCATAAGCGAAGAGCGGGGAAGGGCGGGCCAGATACAGGCGACGCGAGCGGCGAAAGGGGGAAGCGGGCGAGGGGCAGGCAGCAGCAAAGGCAGGGGGGCTCAGGAGCGAAGGACGGGGCAGGGGAGGACAAAACGTGCCTGGAAATGGCCGAGGCGGGAAGGTGGGGAGGAGTGGGCTCACGGATCCTCGGGGAGGCCGAGAGGGGGTAGAGGTCAAGGGCCATGATCCACCCGCACCGCGGCAGGCCGCGGGCGCAATCCTCGCACGCGCGGCAATCGGAGCAGTGAGCGACAACGGACTTCTCGTGGCAGTCGAAGGCGACAGTCTGACGCCAGGGAATCCAGCGAGAGGCGACGCTGAGCCCGAACACGACAACGGAACTTGCGTTCTGGCGCAGTCGCGCACATCGGAGCACAAATGTCCACCAGCATGTGGCGACGTCGAATCCGAACGTGACAATGGGACTTGCGATCTATCGCCGACGGCCGCAAAGCCGCCATCGAGGCATCCAGCAGCAAGTGGCGACGCTGAGCCCGAATGCGACAACGGGACTTTCGCTCTGACGCCAGTGGCGAGGGAGCCACGACGTAATCCACCCGCGCGCGGCGACGGCGGGCCAAACGCGAAAGCGGGACTTGCGATCTGACGCCCCGGCGACTCTCCAGCGAGGAGACGATCTCGCATCCAGCAAGTGGCGACGGCGAGCCCGAACGCAAGAACGGAACTTGCGATCTAACGCCAAACGACTGGACCACCGCCGACGAGGAGCGGTCGACGGTGCCGTCGAAAAGTATCACGCCACTCTGCAGCAAGAAATGTTGGGCCTCCACAAGGTCGGAGTCGTCCCACAGACGGCGGCGGCGTAGCAACCAAGGTGGGGGAGGTCGAGGGCGACGATGGGGGAGGAGTAGAGGGGGTAGCTCTCTGAGTCCTCGACGACCGTCTCTGGGAACCCGATGACGGCGCCAGCGGAGCAGAAGGCGCAGCACTCAGGGTCGGAGATGAGCGTCTCTGGGGGCCCGACAGGGAAGGCGGCGGCGAGGCTATATCGGCCGGGGCGGTGCTTGTGTCAGAGTCCGACGAGACGGCTGGCGCGGGCCTCAAAGACGTCGGTGGCGAGGGCGACGAAGAGGCAGACAACGAGAGCACGTGGTAGTCCCGCCGGCGCAGCGCATCGCGCTCAGAGGCAGAAGTACGGAGCGGAGCCGCCAACTGCATGGCGCGAACTCCGGCCACCGCGCAGCCCCGAATGCTGGATGGCGTGGGCGGCCGCGTGTCGGAGAAGCGGGCTTCGCTGTGCATGTGCTAGGCCGCCGTCATCGCCGAAAACGCCTCAAGCGATGCCTGGCAGAGGACCCACCTCGTCGGCCAGTCCAGCGGGGATGGTCTAACAAGCGCGCCGCAGAGCATGATGGTGCACTGGGCGCCTCGCGTAGTGCTGGAGAGTCGAGCTTCCCCAGGCAGCCGAAGGCGCATGCTCTCTGACCGCGCGGGGATACGATGCGAGCGGACGTCGTCCACCCGTCAGTCCACGCGCGCAGGGCGGCCCAAGCCCACGAGCAAGGGAAGCGGCCAAGAACACTCCGGCACGC